GGACACAACTGAGACTTCTCAATCTCTAATAAACTTGAGATTGATCATATAAAATTTCTCTAGTCATTCCAATGTATCAATATTCTTACATGAAAAGATACAATTATTACCACAACTAAATTTTATCTTTTAATGGCACAAATATTTTGATTTTAGGTAGGGACATGAATGTTACACCCCTCACTAATCCACCTCGGCATGTCTAGCCTACCCCTTAGCAAGGCACCACATGTCTCGCCGAAGTGGTTTCGAAGAGATCTGAGACGAATCCGAAGTGGTCCGAACCTCAAGTTAACACTCTTCGAAGCACAAGCACCATCAAAGTAAATGCCAAGGCATCCCACCCCCCCACTTACGAAAGTGTGAGGAGTACCGAAGCACCCCTACAACAGAAGTCTCTCCGTCGCCAGTTTCAGAAATGTATCTCTATGCCAGAATCCTCTTTTATCTTCATAGATTGATTACTCTGACATCTCAGTTTTATGTTAACTCAACTCAGATGAATTAATTACTTGTCCCTTCTAGATGCGGTTGATTGACGCCTACGAACAGACGTCTCACACCGTCAGATACATACACGTGTCCCCCATCCAACGATTCCCCTCGCCTATAAATACAAAGGTAATGAAACTCTCACTAGAATAACTTGGCACTCCACGCAAGTATAATTTTTCTCCTCCCCACTCTTACACAATTCCGGCACTATCCCAATCACTGTCGACTAACTTGACCGTCGGAGTGTATGCGACCACCACAATTCCCATTGGTTCCATTCGTGTATTCGCTATTGTGCGCAGGGAAAGATACGTGGAGTAACTCTCAGTTGCCCACGTGGAAATTCCAGTTCGCGAGGTCAATAATGTTAAGAAATCTGGGCTGCCTCATTAAATCTTGGGCTATTGGGCCGCATCTTTGTTGAGGCTAATAATAGATAACCGGGTTGCTTGCCCTTTATCAAATCGTATTTTGGAAACACGACATTAGCCTCTTTGAGGGAGTGTGAATCTGCCGTCCACATGGCTACATTTCGGCCCTTCGATTGTGACTATTGAATTGATCGGATTTATACTTAACCTTGGCACTATTCACACTCTCTAGATCCTTCTATCAGTCTCTTCGCCTCTCTCCGTTTTCTGAGTGAAAATTAGGGTTTTGATCTCTAAAATTGAAATCGATCTTTGTGATTGAAATGGTTGTTCTTAGTGCTAGTATCTGATTGTTTAGTACAATCGATAGATACTGAATTTGTGAGGTTCTTTCTGTTTTGAAAAGAGGCGAGAGAAATACGAAGAAATCTGAGATTTCTTCGCACATTTATACTGTTTCTTGGTTGATATTAGTGGATCTTGAGTTAAATTCCTTAGTGGATGCTCAACGGGTGATTAGGCCCCTGTCTGGGCACGATTGTGGTTCTGGAGAATCAATTCTCCTGTCTTTTCTGGTGGCCCACATGAAGACTTTCTGGTTCCCCATGCAAGAGTTCCATTTACTAAATTACAAATTTGCCCACATTCACAACAACTTTGCACTGACAATTAATATACCTTTTGACCGGATTGTTGTAGGAAATTTTGGTGAGAGAATGCAAAATGGTGGGTCCCATTAACAAGTGCATTATTTTTGTCCACTACCATTTTGTCACACGGAATTGAAATGCAACAACACCGACTGGTTTCATAATTTTTTATTAATGATAACATTTTTTTCACGTCTACTTTCGACGAAAAAAATACATGTGCTTATTGTTGTGCCAGATAATCTCTTAACATATCCCACTCATCTCGTCGTGATTCCGGTGCATTTATTTCCACTGAAACTTCGTCACGTGCGCTTGGTAGCTCCACTTCTGCTGCGTCGGGGTCTGTCTCCGCTCTTAGGAATGCTTCGTCCACCACACCCGCCCGTCGAAGAAAGTTATAAATGGCCATGGTTGCAATTACAACATGTGTTTGCACGTCGAACGCATAACTGGGCATACGATTCAGTATTTTCCATCGACTTTTCCAAATGCCAAATGCACGTTCAATGGCATTTCTGCATGACGAGTGTTTGAAATTAAATTTTTCGCAGGCATTTCGAAAGTTACGTCTGTGCCAAGTGTCACCTTCATAGAATTGCTGAAAATGGTACAATATATCCAGGCCCTTATAGGGCACCATATACACAGGTCGATGAGCAAATCCCGAGTCAACCAGGTAATATTTCCCAGGTGCAGGTTGCGGAAACTCAAGCTCGGGATTATGTATTGCCCGCGCCAAGATTCAAGCATCATGGGAGTTCCCCGTCGTACCTGCAAGCACGAATGTGAAGCATAAATTGAAATCACATGCCGCTAGCACATTCTGTGTGGGAATTCCTTTTCGTCCGATAAAACTCACGCGTTGCTCCCGTGGAAGCACGGCTCTGACGTGGGTTCCGTCAATCGCACCAATGCAATCTCGAAAAATGTGATGCTTGTTAAGATTCGAAACGTGATGCTCGGCATAATTATTGTAGTTTAGATCTGGTCGAATTACTCGTCGATAGAATTCGAGGACCGCCCGAAGCACAAGCTTGAAGTAGTGTCCAACGGTTTCCAATGAATGGTTGAAAAGGGTCTGCACCTGTCTGTACCCCTTCCCATGTGCTTATATGATGAGAAACATACCAACATGTTAATAAATATCTAAGTGCTGATGACTGCGAAGCCTGTACTCGTCACACAGCATATGTGCGAACGCTCACAGCATGACGGGATACATGTGGAACTCGGCGTAGCATTGTTGAGGACTATAGTTCATTACGTCCAACATGAACATATGACCATTTCGCACGAATGGATATCGTGAAACACGAGTGCTTTGTTCGGGATAATAGTTTCTGAGAGTAACCTCATTCATTTGACAGTGTCGAAACCACTCCATAATGTCCACTTGCAATTCTTCCATGAATGCCTCGTCGCTCTGTTCGTCCTCCGCATTGGAGGTCGAATGCAACTTGCAGGTGAATTCCGAATGTGCCATTAGACTACAATCACAACATGATATCCAACACTATGGCTTTTGCATGTTGTGAACTTCTACTACATTTATATGCCTTTTATAGAACGTTTCAAGCTATGGTCATGGCAACCAATAATTAAGGTGCAGATAGGACTGATGTGACCAGTCCACCAACTAATGCAGCACTTGTTTGACCCAACCGTGAAAAACAGTCAAAAGTTTGTTTGTCTGCACATATGCTTGTAATCTACAAGAATCAAACTTTTAGTACGCATGTGAGAAAAATTGGGAACTGGAAAAAGCAAACTTAGGCAACTGTTTCCCATAGAAACTAACACAAATAAAATGTCCTCACATCAAACATAGTACATGTCAGTCAACAACAGTAAGAAAAATTACAAATTTTCCACGGACGTGTACGCAATTGACACAAACATATCTCACTACGACTGCATTTTCCTATATTCCTGGTAGCTCCACTCCACCCAAGCAAACTTGTCGTTTGCATTGTCTTGCATGTCAAGTACCTCTCTATTGGCCCTCTACGAAAGGAACTTGCATGTGTAAAACTATAGATCCGTTTGCTTTTGGAGTCGACCTGTAGCGAGCAACTCACTCATGCATGTCTTCGGGTTGGACACAGCTGCTCCAATGAAGTGGTCAATTTTTGCAGCAATCTTCTAACTGGCGGAGGTCGCACGGTCCACAGAATACGACAAGTCCCGAGATGAAAACTTCTTCATCTTCTCTTTCGCTCGCTTCTCCGTGGCCTTCCGTTTGTCCTTGCTGTGCAGGCCGGATTCATCCCTGGTCGACGAGCGCGGTGCGGCTACACGGGCCTCGTCACTTGAGCCGCTACTCTCAACATCGACTGGGACCTCATCACGGTGGTCTTCGCGTGCGCTGTCTTTAAACATGGCGAAGCCAGTGCGGCAGGCCTGGTTAGGTGTGACTGCGTACTTATCGGAGTTGAACACATCCCCGAATAAAACCTTGTATCGGTACAACTCGTGGTAATCCTTGCCCTTGTACTCTTTGTACTCTTTCCTCTCCTAAAGCAATACAAAGCAGACGAGGTTCACAACGAAGTGTGAGAGAAGCAAATACAAATGACTAGAAAAAATATGAGGAATGCATCCATTTCACAAAATAGCAACAATGTCAGCCATTCTTATCCATGCACATGAATGTGTGAACGAAACATAAACACAGTTACAATGCTAGGTCCAACTCTGCAACAAGGCTTTGAAACATGAACGACAACTATACGAAGCACATACGTAGAGAAATAAAAAGCTTGCTCGAGTTTATTACAAGAAAAAATATATATATATATATATATTACTGCCAGCAGATATGCAGCATTCCTAGTGCTGGAATTCAGCTCTTTGTACGTATAAATGGCTCAAATATAGTTCCAGATTAGCCTGCAGGGGAAAGACAAAAGGAACTTATCACTGATTTCACTGGCTTAAACAATACACAGACTATTTCTTGCAGTAGACAGAGGTATAGACGTGGTGCATATGGCTATAGTAGATGCTGTACATGTATTTGACCGAGTGGACGAATGAGAATGAATGCTACATTTACTATGTTCAGGTAACCATGCGGATGGCATTGCAATATCTCATACTTCGAACTCTAGAAAACCATCCCACAGAAAACTCATAATCATAGGCCGGAATAATCGAAAGGGTGTCCATAACAATTCACTTCGTACGTGGTGGAATTAGTGTTATAATAGGGGTTATAGTGTACAAAACATCCAAATCAAGGGCATGCATCTCCTATGAAAAAATGGACAACATTTTGTCCAAGATCAATACTTATCCTGTCCTGTTAATCAGTAGTTTGTTCACTTCGATCATTCAAAAAAAAACAACAGAATTATCAAACAGTTGTCACATGCCTGTATAACATATTCCTCACTATACTAGAAGGACAGTCGGTTTTGGAATAACTCAGGCCTTTCCAATTTTGGATATCAATTACGCAATATGTTTTGAAACATAGCTATTACTGATGAGTATATGACGGTACCTTCGTCTTTCGATCCCACCACTCGACCGAGGCACTGATCAAGCTAGTGGACGTGTCGTATGCAACGCCACTGCTGTTGATCAATTCTTCGAATCTCTTGTGTTTCAAGCGGAGTGCATCCCATCGATTTTTTAGCTGCTGCTTGCTCCAATTGTGGCCGGAGTTGGTGTTGAATAAGTGAACCAATGTCCGCCATTCGAATTTGGTGAAGCACTTCCCATTTTGATGTCCATCAGCGATTACGGTCTCACAGGCGGCAACAAAAATTTGCGTCTCATAGTCTATCCACTGTGCATGCTTACGAGGCCCTGATTCGCTATCAACATGATGGCCATGGGATATGGAGGAGTTCGGGTGTGGGTGTGACCAAAATTTGGCTGCTACAAAATGGGAGGAAAAATTGTTACTTTCCATCAGCAGAATCAACGATCATGGCATTCTACAGTGATCAGAAAAATTAACAAAAGGTTCGAGTTCGAGTACCGTACCGAGGACGTGACTGGGTCTATGGTTGTTCACTGTGGGTGAGCAGTTTTTTCCAACACCTGACCGTGTGTGTGCGGATTAGAATGGGATATGGATAGATTTTTAGAAAATCAAGAAACAATTATAGCACCACAGGAAGCATTAACTTATAAAGATATTTATGGAAGAACTAGTTTAAGATTTTTATATTATAATTAAGTACAAAGACAGAATGATTTTGAAGAAGAGACCAATCCTGAAGAACAACAAAATGAACAATTCCAAAATCAAGTACATCTAGAATTAATAGATGAAGAATTGGATAAAATAATCTATCCAAAAGAATTAGGAATGAATTTAGATAATAAAGAACTATTAGAACTTGAAGATCAAATGTATCTTAATAAGACAATTACAGAATTTGAATACTTATATTATGATCAAGAACAGAATATAAGAATAGGAATTATTATATATATAACCTTGTATCGGTACAACTCGCGGCAATCCTTGTCCTTGTACTCTTTCCTCTCCTGAAGCAATACAAAGCAGACGAGGTTCACAACAAAGTGTGAGAGAAGCAAATACAAATGGCTAGAAAAAAATGGGGAATGCATCCATTTCACAAAATAGCAACAATGTCAGCCATTCCTATCCATGCACATGAATGTGTGAACGAAACATAAACACAGTTACAATGCTAGGTCCAACTCTACAACAAGGCTTTGAAACATGAACGACAACTATACGAAGCACATACGTAGAGAAATAAAAAGCTTGCTCGAGTTTATTACAAGAAAGAAAATATATATATATATATATATATATATATATATATATACTGCCAGCAGATATGCAGCATTCCTGGTGCTGGAATTTAGCTCTTTATACGTATAAAAGGCTCAAATATAGTTCCAGATTAGCCTGCAGGGGAAAGACAGAAGGAACTTATCACTGATTTCACTGGCTTAAACAATACACAGACTATTTCTTGCAGTAGATAGAGGTACAGACGTGGTGCATATGGCTATAGTAGATGTTGTACATGTATTTGACCGAGTGGACGAATGAGAATGAATGCTACATTTATTGTGTTCAGATAACCATGCGGATGGTGTTGCAATATCTCATACTTTGAACTCTAGAAAACTCATAATCATAGGCCGGAATAATCGAAAGGGTGTCCATAACAATTCACTTCGTACGTGGTGGAATTAGTGTTATAACAGGGGTTATAGTGTACAAAACATCCAAATCAAGGGCATGCATCTCCTATGAAAAAAATGGACAACATTTTGTCCAAGATCAATACATATCTTGTCCCGTTAATCAGTAGTTTGTTCACTTTGATCATTCAATAAAACAATAGAATTATCAAACAGTTGTCACATGCCTGTATAACATATTCCTCACTATACTACAAGGACAGCCGGTTCTGGAATAACTCAGGCCTTTCCAATTTTGGATATCAAGTACGCAATATGTTTTGAAACATAGCTATTACTGATGAGTATATGCTAGTACCTTCGTCTTTCGATCCCACCACTCGGCCGAGGCATTGATCAAGCCAGTGGATGTGTCGTACGCACCGCCACTGCTATTGATCAATTCTTTGAATCTCTTGTGTTTCAAGCGGAGTGCATCCCATCGATTTTTTAGCTGCTGCTTACTCCAATTGTGGCCGGAGTTGGTGTTGAATAAGTGAACCAATGTCTGCCATCCAAATTTGGTGAAGCACTTCCCATTTCGATGTTCGTCAGCGATGACGGTCTCACAGGCGGCGACAAAAATTTGCGTCTCATAGTCAGTCAATTGTGCATGCTTGCGAGGCCCCGATTCGCTGTCAACGTGATGGCCATATGATGTGGAGGAGTTCGGGTGTGGGTGTGAACCGAAATTTGGCTGCTACAAAATGGGAGGAAAAATTGTTACTTTCCATCAGTAGAATCAACGATCATGGCATTCTACAGTGATAAAAAAAATTAACAAAAGGTTCGAGTTCGAGTACCGTACCGGGGACGTGACTGGGTCCATGGTTGTTCATTGTTAGTGAGCAGTTTTTTTCCAACACCTGATCGTGTGTGTGCCGGAGAAACTGGGAGCGCAGGATGTGATTGTGGGCATCGAATGTGACTGTGGAGTTGCTTCAATCGGTGGTCGGAGAAGGCGAACGTTGTCAACGCATCTTCGGGGTTGAAGCTGTTGGCAGGGGCTCCATCAACCGGCCGCTGCTGTCGTCGGAGTAGGGTGGGGCGACCGGGTTGTTGCAGAAAATGATCTCGGCGTCCGAAATGTTTTATCACTGTCGGACCAGCAAAAAATTGAAGATATTGCAGCCACTGGAGAGCAATTAATGTTGGCAGCTTCGTCCAGAGGAGGAGCGGTGTCGGTGGCATCATCCAGTGGAGCAGTGGTGTCGGCACCGTCATGGAGTGGAAGAGTTTTCACAGTTCTCTATCTTTGCTTTTCCATTTTGCAGACGATAGAGAAATGGGGTTGGTGTTGGCATTAATTGTGAGGGTACAAATGGAAAAATGAAACAGACATGGGTGTCAGTATTTTTTATTCAAATACCAGTATGAACATGAAATTGTGATCGTTGGACGCATTAACGATAAAAAAAATCACTTAATTTTGGGAAAAATAGTGCGCCTAGACACAGCCCAGGTCTCACGATTGAACATCCGGGCCCTTTCGAGGGTGAAAAATCTCTGTGTTCTTTCCATTTTAATTTCTACAATTTTTCATTTACGGTTACAAATCGATCCTCAAACTTGAAGGTTAAAAATAACAGTGGTATCAGAGCTTCTGGTTATGAAACCGTTTTTGATTTCTAAAAAAAAAAATTTATTTCAAGCCCTATTTTTTATGTTCTCTCGAAAACTTTTTCCAGATCTACAATTTCTTTGTTTCAAATGCAAAATTTGATGTTTAAAATTTTTTGATACTTTGAGTTAAACTTTCGATTCAACTGTTGGTTGGATCTATACTTGCTTTGAATATTTTCTCCTCAGTTCATCGATTTCACTGAAGAATTGTTCCTCGCTATTGAGTTTCTGGACAATTTATGAGTTGACTCACAACTGAGTCTGCCTGAGTGGTCTGACTTTACTGAGTTTGGCGAGTTGAGTTGACTCATTCCGATTCTAGCTGAGTTCCTATCGAGTTTTAGTAACTCGTTTATTTCTTGCTTCTGCAGTGAAAAGCTGCTTACATTCCAGTAGTCTGGTCACAATTTACATACTGAAGTTTTTACCATTTCGGTTTCTGGTATATTTCTGAACCTTGTACTTTAATCTGTTACTAGTTTCTTGTTAATCTTGAAATTGGTTATTAAGGTAAGTGATTCTCCTCTGCTTTCCTTTGTCCAAGACCCCACTGAAGGTCTGAGAATCTGAGGGAGCAGTGGATTTAAAAAGGGTCACCACTCCTTAGACCTTTTCATAATTAACACTTGGTTTCTTGAATTACTGTTAGATAGGAATAATTGCATTCTCCTACTCAGTTCAGAAATCTGTCTGTCTGTTACTTACAATTATCTGTCTGAATCATATATATACTGTGTACTGCATAGTTGCATGTTTGCATACTTACCTGACAACATGTCAAGTGTGTATAAGCTAGAAATAGAGACATGGAATGGTACTGGGGATTTTAGTCTTTGACACCAGAAAATGAGAGCACTGCTACTACAACAAAGATGTGCTGAAGCCCTTGATAATACACGGGCTGCTGAAATTAGAGCTTATAGGAAGAGAGAATTAGATGATACTGCATGGAGTACTATTTTTCTTCATCTGTCTGATAGTGTGATTAGGAAAGTGGAAGAAACCACTTCTGCTGAGGCTTTATGGACAAAATTAGAATCACTCTACTTGACTAAATCCATGCCAAATAAATGTTATCTCTTAAGGCAATTTTACAACTTCAGATTTGACCCATCATCTGGCTTAGAAGAAAATCTTGACAAATTCACTAAAATGATTCAGGACTTAGACAATTGTGATGAGGAAATTTCTAATGACCAACAAGTTGTTGCTCTATTAAACTCTCTTAGTGAAAGATATAGAGACATTAGAAATGCCTTGGAATATGGGGGGCAAGAACTTACTAAGGATATAGTAACATCAGCCTTAAGAAATAAGGAACTTGAATTAAAAGTTGAGTCAAAAGACTCTAAGTCTTGTGAAGGGCTTTATATAAAAGAAAAGCTAAATCACAATAAGAAACATAACCAATACTATACCAATCCTCATAAGAAAGGAAAATTCTCTACTTATAAGCTCAAAGACAAGAATAAGAATCATGTGAAACCAAAGAATCAAACTAGAAAATGCTACTACTGTGGCAAAACAGGTCACTTAATAAAAGACTGTTTTAAGAAAATTTCAGACATGAAGGATAGAAATAATTTGATGGTTCTGCAGCTGTTGCCTGCAAAAATGAACCTGATATCCAGGGGGTGGTTCTTGTTAATACCACCAAAAGAGACTCCAGAGAGTGGGTCCTTGACTTTGGATGCACATTTCACACGTGTCCTTCAAAGGAATGGTTATCTGAATTTGTTGACCTCAATGGAGGGCAAATTCAGATAGGAAATGACATAAGTTGTCAAATAGAAGGTATTGGTAAAGTTAAGTTGTTGTTAGATAACAACTATACTCTTGAACTAGAAAATACAAGATATGTTCCTGAACTCAAAATGAATCTTATTTCTTTGGGAGAATTAGATGAGAAATACAATATCAATACTCACAAGGGTCTTATAAGCCTAACTTTAGGAGAAAAGAGAGTCATCTCCTCTCCAAAAATAAATGGAATTTACACTGTCCATGCTGAGCCTGTTTTAAGTCAGTGTACCACTGCCTCAAACTGTGAGTTTAACAAATCCTTACTTTGGCATAAAAGAATGGATACATTTCAGAACAGGGATTAATCATTTTAAATAAACTGAGATGTTTTGGAAAGGAGAATGTTGAAAAATTAGACTTTTGTGAAAACTGTTTAATTGGAAAACAGAAAAGACTGTCCTTTAAAACCGGAACCCATAAATCCACTTCTATACTAGACTACTTACATGTTGACCTTTGGGGTCCAGCATCAGTAAACACCTTAAGTAGATTCAGGTACTATTTTCTCATTATAGATGACTATTCAAGAAAAATATGGACATTTCTTTTAAAGCAAAAGTCTGAAACTTTTCAAAAGTTTCAGCAATGAAAATCTATGATTGAAAATCAAACAAACAAGAAAGTCAAAGCATTAAGAACTGACAATGGTCTTGAATTCTGCAATTTTGAATTTAACTCATTTTGTAAAGAGGTTGGAATTCTAAGATGTAGAACTATAACATACACCCCTCAACAAAATGGAGTTGTTGAAAGAATGAACAGAAACCTGCTGGAAAAAGTCAGGTGGATGATGTATAGTTCTAGACTTTTAAAAGTTTTTTGGGGTGAAGCTCTAAACACAACCACCTATTTAATTAATAGAAGTCCATCTAGTGCTATTGACTTTCAAGTCCCTGAAATGTTACGGTCTGGAAAAATACCCGACTATAGTAAACTCAAAGTTTTTGGCTGTGCTGCTTATTCCCATCAAAGTGAAGGCAAACTTGAGCCTAGATCCCAAAAATGTGTTTTCTTGGGATATGGAGAGGAAACTAAAGGCTATAGACTCTGGGTTAAAGACCAAAAAAGTTTTAAAATAATAATAAGTAGAGATGTCATCTTTAATGAGAATGACATGCCTTGTATAAAATCTAAAGATTCTAAAATTTCTGAATCTGCACCAGAGAATAAAACCATCCTGGAAGTTCAACCTGAAAATGCTGTAAATCAAGATGATTCTTTTGAGGTGGAGCACTCCCAATCTGAAATAAACAATGAGGAAAATGATTCTGAAAATGAATCTGAATTTTCAATAAATACTCTTGCTGATTATCAGCTAGCTAGAGATAGGGAAAGAAGAACTATAATTCCATCCACCAGATTCAATAATGAGGAGTTTGTCACTCTGTTTTCTGCACTTGACTCCTTAAATTCTGAACCTACATCTTTTGATGAAGCCATTAATTCTTCAGATTCTAAGCTTTGGAAGGAAGCTATGGATGAGAAAATGGATTCCCTTATTAAAAATAAAACCTGGATTTTGGTCAATAGAACTAAGAATCAAAAGATTGTAGATTGTAAGTGGATTTTTAAAATTAAAGGAGATTCAAACTCAGAAAATAAGAGATATAAAGTCAGATTAGTGGCTAAAGCTTTCACTCAAAGAGAAGGAGTGGACTATAATGAAATATTCTCTCCAGTGGCCAAGTACACTACAATTAGAATTTTACTGGCTTTATCTGCTCATTGCAACTGGGAATTAGATCAACTTGATGTTAAAACAACATTTCTAAACGGTGATCTTGATGAGACAATATACATGACTCAACCCAAAGGATTTGAAATTAAATCAAAATCAGAAAATGTTTGTTTGCTGAAAAAATCTCTTTATGGGCTTAAATAAGCTCCCAGGCAATGGTATTTGAAATTGAATTCATTTGTGCAGACTATAGATTTTGTAAAAAGTTGTTATGACTCCTGTCTCTTTTATAAAGGTTTAGGTAGAGCTGAATCTATTTACTTGTTATTATATGTTGATAATATGTTGCTTGCTTGTCATGATAGAAATGAAATATACTTCATTAAATCAAAGTTAAAGTCTGAGTTTGAAATGAAGGATTGAGGACAAACTAAAAGGATTCTTGGAATGGAAATAGATAGAGATAGAGATAAGTACATATTAGTGCTAAAACAAGAATCTTATGTGAAGAAAATTCTTGAAAAATTTTCTATGCTCGATTGTAAACCTGTTACTCTTCCTATTGCTAATCACTTTAAACTGTCTAGTGAACAATCACCTAAAACAGATGATGAATTAAAAAGAATGGAGAAAGTACCTTATACTAACACTGTAGATTCTATCATGTATCTCATGGTCTGTACAAGACCTGACCTAGCACATGGAATTAGTGTTTTAAGTAGGTTCATGGCCAACCCAGGTGAAATTCACTGGCTTGCAATAAAATGGACGTTAAGATACTTAAAAGGGTCATCTGAATTAGGTCTAATGTATAGAAGAAGCAACGAAGAGATAACTTTAAGGGATTACACAGATTCAGATTTTGCTGATGACTTAGATAGGAGAAGATCCACATCTTCCTATATTTTTACTTTATGTAATGGATGTATAAGTTGGAAGTCACAACTACAAAAATTAATTGCCTTATCATCTACAGAAGCTGAATATATTGCAGCTTGTGATGCTGTTAAAGAAAGCATTTGGTTAAGAGGTTTACTAAATGAAATTGGCTTTGCAAATAATTCTGTTAACACTTATACAGATAATCAAAGTACAATATATCTTAGTAGGAATCTTCTATATCATGATAAAACCAAACATGTAGACATAAAATTTCACTTTGTGCGAAATATGGTCGAAAAAGGTTTGATCAAATTGGTTAAAATTCCTACAAAGTTCAATCCCTCTGATTTGGGAATTAAAGTACTGCCTCTAAACAAATTTAAATTATGCTTGAAGATTCTAAATATTACATAAAGGGGTGATAAATTTAGAACTTCAAGTGTTGTTTATGATAAGGTTAACTGATTTAATTTATTTTTACTTTTATTTTGTTTTACAGGAATTTAGAGCAAGTGAAGTTAACTGATTTAGTAACAAGATCCATTAGTAAAGACCAAGATTCAACTCAACAAGGTGGAGATTGTTAAGAAATCTGGGCTGCCTCATTAAATCTTGGGCTGACCGCATCTTTGTTGAGGCCAATAATAGATAATCGAGTTGCTGGCCCTTTATCAAATTGTATTTCGGAAACACGACATTAGCCTCTTTGAGGAAGTGTGAATCTGTAGTCCACGTGGCTACATTCCAACCCTTCGATTGTGACTGTTGAATTGATCAGATATATACTTGCCCTTGGCACTATTCACACTCTCTGGATCCTTCTTTCAGTCTCTTCGTCTCTCTCCATTTTCTGAGTGAAAATTAAGGTTTTGATCTCTAAAATTGAAATCAATCTTTGTGATTGAAATGGTTGTTCTTAGTGATAGAATATGATTGTTTAGTATAATCGATATATACTGATTTTGTGAGGTTCTTTCTGTTTTGAAAAGAGGCTAGAGAAATACGAAGAAATCTGAGATTTCTTCGCACATTTGTACTGTTTCTTGGTTGATATTAGTGGATCTTGAGCTAAATTCCTTAGTGGATGCTCAACGGGTGATTAGGTCTCACGACTGAACATCCGGGCCCTTTTGAGGGCAAAAAATCTTTGTGTTCTTTCCATTTTAATTTCTGCAATTTTTCATTTACGGTTACAAATCGATTCTCAAACTTGAAGGTAAAAAATTACAAACAATGAGAGTCAAAAAAAATTGCGATTTGATGATTTAATTAGTGAATTTATCTCCCATGAACATAAACAATCTTGCCGAATCATGTAAATTTGTGTTTACTGCACGATTATTGCATGCGCGTATATCTCTTTGTTTCAGCATGTGTTTAAGAGAGAGATGTTGAGATATGCCATGATGAGATAAGAATAAAGAAAAGGGTGAGATCCATGAGTTATGACAAACGAAGTATGGGATGGTCGTTGTCATTCAATCAATGACCAGTTGAATTCTATCTTCTATTCAATTCTTCAACGCCTTTGAAATCTAACACTACGGCGCAAGTCTGTCCACATCTTGATCTCTCTTTATATCTTGTTCTAGCATGAGAGAGAGAGAGAGAGAGAGAGAGAGAGAGAGAGAGTGTTTGGACAAAAAATCCTTAAAAATATTACATAGCTTTATAGAAAGAAAGTTGAATGGAGCACCAAGAAATGCAAGAAACTGCTACATTCTTGCCTGTTATCCTGAGATTAGATCGTCTCGATCGCCTGGTAATCCCTTTTTTTGGTCCCAAAAATTATATCGTCTTGGATGGCCTAACATGTATTTGATAGGGTGGATTAAATAGTACCAGATGATCATAAAATTTAAGCATGTTTCATTCGTGATGGTTGATGAACTTTTTATTTTTCAGCTGCAACTTTTAGAAGAGAGGCACAGCTCATCAAGAAGAGAACTTTCTTCTACTGCTATTGTGGAAAAAGATGAGTGCAAAGATCTATCTTCGGCTCTAGAGGAAGTTCACCAAAAAGGCACACTTATGGAACGGCTGTCTGTGCTTGAAAATCGAGTATTACAGGTTTCGACTGCCCTATTTATGTAGCCGACTTAAATTTAGTATTAGGATTTAGAAGCTCATATTCATATATATGCTTGTTTTCCGTGCAGCTGAGCCTGGAAATGGATGAAGGGAACACATCGAAGTCGAGCTCTTCAACAGTTCAAGTTTCACAAGGGATTAGGAATTTAGATTCTGAATTGTGCAATGAAACAAGGCAAGATGAGAACGTAATAATCACAACCCAAGAAATTGAAGGCCCTCCTGCAGTTCAAGTAAGTTATACATTACGATACAATATTTTAGCTTCTTTTCCATACTGTCCATTTACCGAATGTGCTAAAAATTTCTGGCTTCCTTGAAGCAGACCGCCCAACAGAACAGTGGACGACGCAGGAAAAAAGCGCATAAAAAGTGGCTCGGGTTATTCCGATTTCCATTGACATGTTAATTTTGCCATGTTTCTCAATCCAGCTATGGAAATAAAGAGTGAAAAATGAGAAAATAAGCACTTATAAGTTGCTTATATGTAAAAATATTGGAAAATTGGGTATGGGGAAAAGTTGGTTACGATGAGAACCGCCTTACATGTTTAAGCTGATCTTTATAGATGAATTGATGAGTGTGTGTGTTCAAAATGTGTTATCCATGACGAGATCAGCCCACAATTTCTTTTCATTATACATTTTCCATTCTAACGGTCAAAGCATGATAAATTTTTTGAGGGGTGGGTGTCTATTTTTATACACTTCACAATAATCGATGATTAGGGTTTATTCTGGAAAGCAAACATATATGTATTTTTCAGTTTTATTATAACGTTTACTTCTATTGTGTCAAAGATATAGTTTCTATTTGGTGTAGATTAAAATAAATTTTTTAACAAATTTTTATAAAAATTGATGAAATATATGATTAAAATTAATTATTGACATTGACTTAAAATTTTTAATAGATTTTAATATACACCCATAATAACGAAGTATGCAATGAGGACTTATAGATTTCAAGGGCAATGTAAACCATTTCGGTCAATGAAGTAAATGGTAATGTGTTGTCATGATAATCTGTCATCTAGTATTTATCAAGAGAGTAAAGTTGTTCGTACAGGCTCACGTCGTTCCAATTCGAACAAGAGGTTGGGCCGACATGGCCCTAATCATCTAGCACGGTTCATTTGGTAAGGAAAATTGTTCCTCCTATCATTGAATTTGATAAATAATCACAACTCTTAATGTAAATTATTTTAATTGTCCAAATCTATCAAAACTTTACAAAATCTTATACTCAAATCCAAACACACCCCAGTGAAGGCTTTAGTAGATCAAATTTTTAGATTTTTTTAATTAAAAGTTATAATTATTTGTCAATTTTTTTGGTAGGAGGAAAAATATCAAATGGAGAAATTTTAAAATTGATTAAAATCATCAAAATCGATTCGCAACGATAACCGGCAGTTTCACGCCAAAATTTTGTTTTTGTGTATCTAATTCTCACTTTTTGTTCAACCCTTGACTTTAGTAAATCAATTTCTAAAACATAAATATTTACACAGTTCAATACAAACATTGTATCATTTTCAGGGCCAGCCCTGCCTGCCTTGGGCCTCTCAAATTTAAGGGGCCTCTAAAAGTAGAAGCCCAAGAACTGCCCCCAATCCTAAACCCCTCAAATCCCTTTAAAAACAAACCAAAAAAAAAAAGAAAAAGAAAAAAAAGGTATATATAAAGAAACCGACCACCCAAATCCGTCGTGGAAAACTCGAATCTCCGCATTTCGGACATCGGATTCTTTTTCTTATATCAAATTCGATTGATTTTGAGGAGTCTTCGCACCTTTCTCCTCTCCGTGCGCCAACAATTGAAGCTCGTTTTGCTTGTTTTGATAGTATATAGAGTTATAGAGGTAACAAAAACAAAAGGACATGTTTTCAATTGTTTTAGGCTTTTAGCATCTAATTCGATCCTTTTGTTTTGTTGTGTTTAGTTTGACATTGAGTAGCTGAACGTCTCAATTAGAAAGATAGATTTTTTTATTATTTTTTTAAATTTATGTCGTGTTTTATTGCAAAATCTGAAAGTTAAAAAACGTTTGTCTTTTTTAGTTTTTCTAAATACCTAAGGGTGGTTTTTAGGAAGAATGATTCCTAAAAATTGAAGCGTGATGTTGTGTTTTAGGTTCATCCATATAGAATATTAAGCCTTAACCAGAGATAAATTTTCATACGATCTGCTTCATGTCCTGCTGGAATCAGAAAAAACATGGACAATTTGGTTAGTATATTGTTGACGATGATAAATTGAAAATCATTGCTAATTGCTTTTCTGTTATTATTCTCTTCTGGTTTTGTTTTTTATTATAGTTCAACTTGGTTCTTTTACTTTGATGCTTTATGTTAAAGGAAAGGTGAAAAAACGAAAGGACAATAATCTTCGAGTGTAGAGAACAGTTTGGGAATTGCATTTTTTCTGTTCTTTCTTGTCAACTAAATTCTGTCACAATACATTCATTTTTTAGTAAATGTATTAAGTGTGATATTTTAGTGATGATAGAAACATCATTAATCTTGTCTTGCATGCAAATAATGAAATTATCTATTTCTAGTTAGTTCACTAGGTGAACTTATACAAATTAATTCTTTCTATTTAGTATTGATTGAACTTTTAAATTTGAAGTACTGCATACAAGAAATTTGAATAGGAGCATAAAAAGATCCATTGAGAGGTTTTGATGTCCCTAAAGTTTTTATTGGCATTCTTAGCCCTTGATGTGGACCATGCGATGCATTAATAGGTTATAAACTAGCAGTTGGATCACCTACAACTGTTATTTGTATTTAGTCACAAATTTGAGTTGATCAGCTTCTTTTTAATATAAAAGTGTTAATTATTTAAATATTTAAATATTATTAAACTTGTAAAATAAAATATTATGTTGAAGGGCTTTATAATAATTAATCGTCTAGATGCCTCAAAATTCTCGAGGCCAACCTTGATGATAAAGAACATTACTCAAAGAGTACTATGTTTCATTTGTAACAAATAATATTGAATGGACTAAGAGTGATGATTAATAAATTTAGAAAGATTACAAGACATATCAACTATCTTCTACGACTTTTGTGCCTAAACTCCTATTTGGTCGGGATTAAAATTTAAATTTTTATTAAATTCAAAGTCAAAATTAATTTTAATGATATAACCACATATTTTTTCAACTTTTATCATAATCTTCTAAAAATCTGATTTCAATTCCCTCCAAACAGGGCAAAATATTATTTATGTGCTCTTTGCATGCCCTTCTAGAAGACGCAACTTGTCCCAAAGCACCTTATGCGTGTTGAGGCAATTTTGAAGAAAAATGTAAATGTACTTAATTTCTAAGTTAGCAATATAGTTAACTGTCATCATTAAAGCAATTTAACTCCTAAATTGTTCTAAATATTAATTTCTTTTTTGGTTTTTTTGCTGCAATGTATATTCATTGATATAAAATGTGCTAATTGGAGATATTGATAGCTGTCATGAACAAATTGTTGAACATGTTGTAAAGTATATACGTCAAAAAGTATTCCTATCTCTTTATAAGTTAAACAACTCTTCTTAACAAATAGGTTCCTTTTTTGCTGCAAATGTATATTCTTTGATATAAAATATGCTAACGAGAGATATTGATAGCTATCATGAACAAATTGCTGAACAGGCCATAAAGCATATATATATATATATAGATATATATAAACAACTCTTCTTAACATATAATTTCCATTTTTTTATTTTTTTTGCTGCAAATGTATATACATTGACATAAAATATGCTGATTAGAGATATATGAACAAAGTGCTGAACATGTTGTAAAGCACATACATCAAAAAGTATTTCTATCTCTGTATAAGTTAAACAACTCTTCTTAACATATAATTTCCATTTTTATTCAAACTTATCTAAAATGTGTAGCATTTATTCATAACTCTTTTACATATCGAACTATCAAATATAGTTTCCATCTGAAGTTTCATTTATTCTCTAACAAAAACGCCCTCTTGAGTCTTAATTCACAGGTTCAACTTATGCAAGCTGTGTAATGATCCCATACTAACTGTATCAAATTATGTCAGTTCCAACTTCCAACCCAGCCTGGTTCTTACAATGAGAATTATTTTTTTATTTTTTTATTTTTTAACCTGCAAAACTTAAAAAAATAATAATAATAATAAATAAATAAATAAATAAATCTACCAATTAAAATCCATTATAAGCTTATTGGTCATCCATGACTTTGCCCGAAAGGTAATTTGTTCACTGGCTGTCTTGGCCTGGTCTGTGGTTTGTTTTCTGTTGGATATCACTGATTCTATTGTTGCATGGCACTAGTCTATTACACCATATATAATATTGAAACCGTTTTATTACAATAAATTGAACCTGTGTGAATTTCAACTCCATAATAAATTATTTCTTTAACTACTAATGATCCCTTATTGCTTCTTCCTAATATCTTCTAGTTGGTTTTCGTTATTCATATTTTGTATATTTTAATGTATTACATGTTACTCATTTACTTGGCTTCTGAACTTTACACATTAGTATCTCAAAAGTCGATCCTAAATCATTGCTAACATAATCAACAAGTTTGCATTGTACTAAAGATTCGACTAATCTTCGAATGATCTTTCGTGAAATTTGTCTTACAAGAAAAAAGCTGGAGATCCCGGGATTCAGTCCAGGGGCCGAGGTGCTGGCCCGCATGTGTGAAGATCCAGGGTCGAGGTGCTGCCACCTCGACCCTGGAACGGTGCAGCACCTCGACCCTGGAACGGAACCCGGGGTTCTGAAGCAACTCTCGTCTTACAATATACAAATTGTGATGAATCTTTTCTATTCAATTAGCACCTTGCATAATCTGTCAATTATTCATTTAATGCGAAATTTGAGCAATAAAGCATTTTTTTAAATATGATGAACAAGCCTAATTCATATTATACAGTCGATTTTTCATTACTAAAATTAACTTAAAGAGGTGAAAGTGATCACAAGCAACTGCTTGACTCACGGCAGAATTTGTCGCTTTGTGCTTTCGCCTAGAAAATCTTCTGTGCAGTTAATGTTGGGAAATTATTTAATTTGACATGTGAGTCGTAATTAATTTTGTATAAAGACTATCTTAAAGTTAAGTTTAAAACTAAAGTGAAAGAGTTAAGTAATGGGCTTTGGATATCTATATAAAGTGTGGACCGATTATATGTGTGGAGATCAGAGTTCTTTAGAACTATATTTTATGATAGACAAAATATATATGGAAACTATAAATAGGCTTATAGCTCCCAATTCATATATAATTTCTCAATTTTTGTGTCAACTCACCAACACAAGAATTAAAAGAGGCTTTCCGTATTGAAGAGAAAAATTCAAAATCCACAATTAAGAACAAAGATTGAAGAGTTCAAGAACCCAATATAAGAATGAAGATTATGGATCAAGAAGGAAAATCAAGATCAATAACTTAAGAATCAAAATAATTAATAATCAAAATTCAAGATTCAAGATCCGGAATTAAGATCCAGTATTAAAGAAATATTCCCAACAAATT